ACTTTTTAAATGTGTTTCATACAATACTGGAAGAAAGTTATAACTTATATTTCATCATATAATAATTTATTATTAATGATTTCAATGTTCTAAAAAAAATGAAATATGCCTAACAATTCTAAACAGTCGTGCACTAAATTATTTTTATTTTAGATTCTGAGTGGAACGATGAATGTATTAATTTTACAAATATGTGTGTTTCTTTTTTTTTGTGTCTGTCATCACGTTTTAGGATAGTAAAAGTGTTTGGATTTTCTTCAACAGTAGCTTTTTTGGGATACAACTAGTTTGCGCACATTTTAAAATTTCCCTGCTTAAACCTGTAACTCGTTTGCGCACAACATATTGTAGAATATACGTTAATATTATATTGGTTTTTAGACGCAGATAATGGTCTGTAATCGACAATATTACTTCGATAAACTTTATCAGTATTTATGACCCATCAATAAACTGGTACTATCGTTTTGAAATCGTAAACACAAGTTTTTAGTTTTAGTTTCGACAATATTATCTCGCACAGCGCTTACAGAAATATGGATTACGAAATAACAAATATAATATATACTATACGCGTCGCGGTAAAATGTGTGTTTCTATTAACAATTTTAAGTTTTCGAAGTACAGAAAATTAAAATGTGGGAATTTCTCATTTCGATTTACCAATATAAAAAATGTAAGGCAATTGCTACATTAAATCCTCAGTGTACAAGTATTATTATAATCATAAAAACGAACATAATCACAGTGAATATTCTGAGAACGCATAGTACATAAAGATATTATCCGTAGTTCTGTTAAGAGAAAGGCCGTTGAAGAAATGCATACACAACCAAGTAAAATTATTAGACGAGAATTATTATTAAAATCAGATTATAATTTAAATCATGGTGACATGCATTTGTTACGAAATTCAATGTATGCAACTAGAAAAAAAACATTTCCCAAAACTCCCAAATACTGTTAACGAGGCTGTACAGCTGAAAGAATTCCAAGTTAAATTTAAAGATAAACAATTTATGTATTTCAGTGACGATAATAGTGTATAGTATTGTTTACATGCTCAACAAATTTGAGTGCTTTATGTGATGCTCCACATGTATTTGGAGATGGAACATTTTCTTATTGCCAAAATTATTTATAGTTTATACACAGCTGTATACAGTCCTGTAAAGAATACTTTTGAAAAGTACTTGAGTAAGTACTCAAATACATTTTTTTTTAAGTATTTAAGATACTACTCAAATACTTTAATTGTATAGTATTTCAAATACTACTCAAATACTTTTAAAAAGTATTTGGAATACTTTTCAAATAATTTTGGAATACTTTTCAAATACTTTTGGAATACTTTTCAAATACTTTTGGAATACTTTTCAAAAACTTTTGGTTTTTAAATTGGGTTTCTAATTATTGTAATATAGACACATAGGTAGTAAATTTATAATCATTTTTATTTATTATTTATTAAATAAATGTTTATTACATTTTTTTTTTACTTTTACATGAAATTTACAATCTGTTCTTAACTAGAACAATAAGCAAATGTGCATAGGGTATTTGGGTATGATTTTTTTTTTTGAGGGAAGAAAAATTGGTGATACTACCTATTTTGTGTTCTTAATTCATTCTAAAATTTCTAAAATTATTTCGAATAAAAATAAAATGTTCGAAATAAAAAACCAAAGTATTCAATACCAAAAAGTATTTAATACAAAAAAAAGTATTTAAAATACCATTCAAAATACTTCATGCTGAAAGTATTTAAAAAGTTATTCAATACTTAAAAAAGTATTTGAATACTTTTACTCAAATACTTTTACTCAAATACTTTACAGGACTGGCTGTATACCATTCATATTTATCAAAATTATTTTTACGTACCAGTAGTATTTTGTTTTTTATAGAAGATAAACATACGTCGACATACACAACTATGTGGGAAACACTTCAGAATCTTTGTACTCACATTCTCGATCGACAACTTATTATTAAAGAATTTCATGTTGATTTTGAAAAATCAGCTCATAACTCAATTTTAAATGTCTTTCCTCAGTGTAAAATTGTATGCTGCACATTTCATTTAGCTCAATCTTGGTTTCGTCGAATAAAAAAAAGTAGTAAATTATTACGGGAATATAAAAATAATAATTCAGAAGTAGGTAAATGGCTTAAATATTTTTTTGGTTTGCCGTACTTACCACCCGATGAAATAGAAATAGCGTTTTCAAATTTAATAGCTATTGCTCCACCTGATGGATTATACTTCTCCGATTATGTTTTGTCATCATATTATATATTACCTAATTCAAATTTCAATACATCCCTGTGGGCAGGAAAACCAGATGATTTACCCAGAACAACGAACGGAGCTGAAGCATTCCATAGGCATTTTAATAATCAATTCTATAACCCTCATCCACACGTATACCAAGTAATAGATGTTATTTTAAACATTCAATCAGAAACTGCAGATCTTAAACTGAATTCAATAAAAATGAATATTAATAACTATCGTCGGAAAGAAATGTTACAAATAAACAATTGAGTACATGAAAAATTTGTGGACAAAGTATTCAAATAACGAAATTGATCAATTGAATTACCTACTTGGAACAAATGGGCAACCGTTTCCAAGGTAAACCTTTGAAATAAGTATAGGTACCTAATTAAAATATAAACATAAATAGATGACCGCTACAATAAAAATTAATTATACATATTTTTTTTTAACACATAGCACACCAAAAATACATTTTTAACCACACCATTGAAGTTAAAATATTCACTGACAGTCCTAAGTCTGTAAAAGTGGGAAGGTATAGAATATGCCCCTTCAACGAGTAAAACGAGTAAGTGATTATGCGGATAGATACGTTGAAATCCATCGACGGGTCGAGTCCGATGCTGATAGACTTGGCGGCCCAAAAAGTCTATGACGAAATTAGTGGTATCGATTAACCGACGAGCTGCATATCCCCGTCTCGGAGCCGGTAAATTGCGTCCCCCCAAAAAGGTCATAGTTATATACTACGTAAATTGCGGCCCATGTACTTTTAAAACATGCGTAAATTGCGTCCGGGGTATATTTGAAATGTACGTAAATTGCGGCCTGGGATATTCCGATTTCCGGTCGGCTGTACAATTTAAAGATATAAGTATTAATCTTTGATTGATCAATGTAGATAATAATAATGTATGTTGGTCCTTGTCGGCAATGACGATCCTCCGTGAACAGTGTAAGCAGGACCGGATTGGTTAGGCGAGCTACCGAGAAAATCTCGGTGGACCGCTTAAAGTTTGGGCCGGTCGTGTGAGTGTGAGTGAAAATAAATTTATGTTTAAAATACGATTCGCCACCTATAAGCTCATAATAATTATATTACGTAATATTTGGGCCTCTAGGCTGCTTAAAAGTTAAAATCTCGATGGGCCGATACATACCAATCCGGCCCTGAGTGTAAGTGCAGGTGATTGAATGGCGATGTCCAAACAAACGGTAAACACGTATTCGTCAAAGTAGGTACGACGACGTACCGTCAGCGCAATAACGTAGATATGCACCGCGGCGGCGACGGTGGTAATGAATGAGACAAGTTTCAACGTGCAGTTTCGCGAGTGCCGTGGCGAAAGGACGAGCAGGTTAGGCCTATTATAGGTACTATTACGAATATCACTTAAGATACTATAAATGAACATAATAATTTTGTCACCGTAGACAGTAATACGGAAATTTCGACCCGCGTGTTGTTTATCCGGAGCCGGTAAATTGCGTCCCCCAAAAAAGGTCATAGTTATATACTACTTAAATTCCGGCCCATGTACTTTTAAAACATGCGTAAATTGCGTCCGGGGTATACTTGAAATGTACCTACGTAAATTGTGGCCAGGGACATTCCGATTTACGGTCGGCTGTACAATTTAAAGATATGTATTAATCTTTGATTGATCAATGTATATATGATCAATATTTTTTTTCAATCTAATAAAAATGGACGTTATGAAAAGTGAAAGGAATAAAACGTTGAAAGTAGTTGATGGTTTCAAATTTCGTTTTCACAAAATGCTAAAATATGATATTCAGCGCTGGGTATGCACAGTTAAAACGTGTAAGTGTTTTTTGAAATTTAATGATAATAATATTTAGTTTTAAAGATCACAAAAGTCATTTTAAAATTTCGAAACAAATAATAAATCGACAGAAACTGAACAACAGTTTAAAAAGAAAAGCCATTGATGATATGTCCTAAGTCTGAAAAATGTAAGGATAATATTGATTTTGCAAAAAAAGGCTTAGACGTAATTATTACTTATAAATAAAAAATATTTGAGTAGGTACCTAATACAAATTATACCCTGGCCGCAATTTACGTATGTATAAAATATACTCAGGCCGCAATTTACGTATTTATAAAATATAGCCAGGCCGCAGTTTACGTATGTACAAAATATGCCCGGGCCGCAATTCACATAAAAAATTAAAAATGGGCCGCAATTTACAGCGACCCGAAAAATTTGTGTACCTACAAAGTATTCAAATAACGAAATTGATCAATTGAATTACTTGGAACAAATGGGCAACCGCTTCCAAGGTAAACCTTTGAAATAAGTAGGTACCTAATTAAAATTAAAATAAACATAAATAGATAACCGCTGCAATAAAAATTAATTATACATATTTTTTTTAACACATAGCACACCAAAAATACATTTTTAACCACACCGGTGAAATTAAAATATTCACTGACAGTCCTAAGTCTGTGAAAGTGGGAAGGAAAATGTGTGCGCAAACCAGTGGTTACACTAGAAATAATCTGTGCGCAAACGAGTTGTAAAAATGTGCGCAAATGAGTTGTAATTTTAGTAAATATGCGAAAACCATACACACTACAACCCAATCGGAAATTTATTACTTACGCCAACATTCACAACGGGCACGATACTGCGCCAGCATAGGCTACTCGACTGTTGGCTGGCCCTTACGGGCATAGTACTGGCCATTACTTTTCGACAGCACTAAACCAGTACTGAAATACTGTACTGGCAGCCAAGTGCTGATCTAGTACTGGTATAATACGGGTCCCGATGGATATGTTAGCAAGGGCCAGCCAGTGTTTGTCGTATTTGTGCCTACGTTGGCGGAATACTGGCATAATACGGGCCCTGTTTAAATTGCCAGAAAAGGCCAGTAAGTGTCTGTCGTATTTGTGCCAACGTTGGTGGAATACTGGCATATTACGGACCAATCAGTCATCCTATATAATATAGGTAGCTGTTTTTAGGCTGTTTTTTTATTTACAGTGTCATAAAGGGTTAAGCGTTAAAGACTATGTAGTCTGTCGTAACGATTTATTTAATTGTTTTTAAAACGGTATTTTGCATTGCCTTTATGGCTTTATGTCAATATATCAAAGGTAAGTGATTATAATGATATATAATTAATTAGGTTAAAAGTGATTTGTACTACATTTATTTTATTTAAATGTACCAAATGACAAATACCATCAATATATTTTAATATAATATTGCGTATTATTTTTGTATTGATACGGCCTCGGGCGGCATTTTTCTTCGGGCAAGTCACGGACCACGGTGTCCGGATAAAATTGCCGCCATCCCCCACCCGGGCATGGCAGATACTGAGATACCTACGGGTGCCCACTAAAAAATTCTATCTTTTTATCTAAGTTGTAAACTTGTATCCACGGACTACGATATAGTAGTATTATAATATATATATACAGGGTGTAACAGATAGAACTGACTTTTGGAATAACTTTTGTTATGATCATTATTTTTAATTTTTTTTTTTTATATATAATTTATAGCCACTTGTTCTACACGTGTAAGAGGAAAAAAATTATTTTTATTTTTTTATACTAAAAATAAAAAATTTTAAATTTGACTTAAATTTTTTTGAATAAATTCAAAATAGCAAACTTGTGAATCTGATTTTAAGAACGATTTGGATGGTAAAAAACTAAAAACATTTATCTAAGTCTAGTAGTTTATTTTTTAGAATTTTTTTAAATATCAATATTTTTTTGATAAAATAAATTTGGAACGCAATAGCTTTTTTAAAAATATTATTTTTGGAAATTTTATAACATGGGTATATTCTTAAAACTATTTACTAATCATATAATTTCAACAATTTTTGTCATACATTTAAGTAGCATCAATTTTTTTTTTTTTTTTGGTCAGTTCTTTCTGTTACACACGGTATATATTATGATATTATCTTAGTCCGTCTTTATAACTATAATGTAATTATATAAACAGTCGTTTAGCAGTCGTATTAGTAGACGTTTCAGCTGTTCGTAAAAAAGTTAATCGTAAAAATACAAAAAAAAAACAAAACTCTGACTTTCGATGATCGTAATTGTTTACGTTTGATCGCAAACAAGTAGTAATTTTTTATTTGTTACTTTATACCTATTATACATAAACGCTATGGATAAAATATCGTTCTTAGACGCCGCACCACCCACGTCTAATAACTAATTTTGGACGGTGTAATCGTCTCGTCACGGAGTAACAGTTTCTCGCGGCTTTTAACAGGTGGATCGGTTATAATCGGTATAGAATATGCCCCATCAACGAGTAAAGGCCCCGTAAAAAATCGGTTGTTATCATAGGCGCACATAGGGTGTTAATTTAGGGGGTGCTGGGATAATTTATGGTTCACAGATCCGTGGGGGGCAAAGCTCCCAACACCCCCCTAATCCTAATATTTCTGCATTGCATTAAATTTAATTTGTACAGTGTATACAATAATTTCTAAAGTGCAATGTATCAAATAGTCTGTATGATTGTAAAGAAGACGCTAGGTACACCAACATGTGTTGTCTTCGTATTACAGACGTATAGGTACAACATAGGCAAAACTGTTTTGCACGTGTATAAAAAACATTCAGGCTCTACTCTAAGCTAAAAAACTAAATGTTCACACTAGAAAAATGAGAAAATTTACTCCGTAACTTTGTTTTTATATTTCCGATATCAAAACCAAAATAAAAGTTATTTAAGTTTGATAAACAAAAAAAGGTGCTCTGCTGTACAGTAAGGTACAAGTGGGTCACTGTATAATCTATGGTATTAAATTTGAATTCAATGATATACTAACATCATTGTATAAGAAAAACGATTCTGAGCGAAGACGGTTAAGTCAGCCTATGATATTACTAAGTATATTTAATGATACTAAGGTGAATAAAGCAATTTATATATAACCTATTTAAGTAGAATCTTGTTTTAAATTTTCAATCATTAGCTATAAAAGTTGAACATTTTATAAATTTTTAACTATAAAATTATTATTAAATTTTAAATGTGATAAATTTTGTCAAAATTTGAATCTTAAATAATTATAAAAAAAAATTGTGCCTATGTATTTTTAATATTTATCAAGTGTTAATGTAACAATATATCAGGAGCTTTGCATTCAATTTTCAAGCTTTTTTACCATACAAATACAATTTTATTGATATGAATAGAAAAAAAAATTAAAAAAATTGAAAACTGAAAATGTCCGTAAATAGCTCAAAAAGAATCAAAATATTTTCAAAACTATATGGCGTATAGGAAATGCTAATATAAAAATTTAGTAAAATTTTTAAGTATCTACAGTCATTCGTTTTTTAATTACAACAAAATTAGAAAATCGTTACATGAGAAATCGAGTGAATATCAAATGTTGTAAAAATATGAATTTCAAACGTTGATAAAAATTTAATTTGAGATTCTTGTAGACATTTTTTTTTTGATAAAGGTAGACAAACTTATGAGGAATCTTGCATTACATTTACATATCTTAGATTTAAAAAGAAAAATTTTTATGAATTTCTAACTCGAAATAATTTGCAAATTTTGGTCATTTTGTAGTATTTTGTTAATATTTGGAATTTAAATGCTTATAACAAAAAACTGTGAGTAAGGATTTTTAATATTTTTCATCTGTCTTTGAAACAATATATTAGGAGCCTTCTATTAAATGTTTAAGCTTTTATACCCAACAAATAAAATTTTATTGATACTTATAGAAAAAAAAACTAAAAAAAATGGAAACTAAAAATGTCCGTAAAAAGCTCAAAATAACTCAAAATATTTAGAAAATTTTATCATGTATAGAAAATGGAAATATAAATAACCAGTGAAAATTTCATATATCTACGGTCATTTGTTTTAAAGTTACACCAAAAACCAAAATCAATTTTCTCGAAAACAGATTTTGCGTAAAAATTCCCGGTTTTCCTTAATTTTTCTTTTGTTTTTCACGGCGCTTTTGAAAACTACTATGAAATTTTTGCTTTTGACCCCCCCCAAAGTACCAACTAGATTCACTTTCCTATCAGAAAAGATATTGTTGAAGAAAATCCAAGCACTTTTACTGTCCTAAAAGATGATGACAGACAAAAAAAAAAAAATGAATTCGTGAATTCGTAAACAGTTGTCAATATTTGTAATGAAAAGAAAAATTCCGAACCAATAAACCACGATAGTTTATAAATGATTGGTGAAATACTGAAATAAACTTAGGGTGCTAGTTTGAAGCTTGGGGGTGCTAAGCACCCCCAAGCACCCCCCTATGTGCGCCTATGGTTGTTATACATACGAACCGCGACGGCGTGATTATTATGCGGATGGATACGTTGAAATCCATAGACGGGTCGAGTCCGATGCTGATAGACTTGCGGCCGATAAAGTCTCTGACGAAATTAGTGGTATCGATTAACTCGACGAGCTGCATATCCCCGTCTCACAGTGGTTCAAAAATGAAATTAGTTGGCCAAAAGTCGATATTTTGAATTTGAAAATACTCAAATAAAGATAGCAAAAATATTTTCTGTAATAACCAATGTAAAATGATTATGCAAAACGAATTGCAAAATAATATTAGCAATACCAATAAAATAATAATTGAAGTGGACAAAATATAGTTTTTTTCATGATTATTACGATATTTTGTCACTAATCGTCATATAGTTTAATTTTCAACAACAAATAAAATAAAATAACTTTAAAGTATTTATCAATTTATATACGTTGGATAAGATACTAAGATAGTATTTAATGATACAATTATTAAAAAATGACTGTTATTAACCCGTATGTGGCAATTAAAACGAATAATGTCATAAATAATACGATATAAACCAATAAACCTATTCACTTTTAAAAACATACAAAACTAATCATGTTTTTCATCAAGTTACACGGCAATATATACACCATAATTTAGACCACGATCCACTGGTTACAAAACTATCATTATTAGTTGCTCGTATTTGCGCGTTTCGTTTCAGTGAGCACTTGAAGTTGGACAGGCTTATTTATAAGGAATATTTGATTGAATGAAAAAATCATATTTTTTTTTATGGTTTAGGAACACAAATTAAAAATTTAAGTAAAATGCGCTTTGTAAGAATAGTGTTTCTCTTTCCAAAAAAAAAAAAAAACTATCGAAATCGGTTTTATTACGTTGATTGACAGTTTTTTTCTGTAAAAAATGTTTTTGAGAAAAAAAAAGGTCCCGTGTATACGAATACGAATTATTTTTATAATAATTATTCTGTAAGTAACAGATCATTTTAAAAGATTTCTGTGACAATTAGAATTTTGGCCGACTATTTTCATTTTTGAACCACTGTGCGTCTAGTCGCAGTTGAACGTCACGTTCCGTCATTATCATTATTTATTATATTAAATTTAACTTTGAAAAACAATATATTGAAACACACTTGGTGGACGCGTCAAACAGCTGCACCGGGAATGATCTACGATTATCATAAATTTTGGCAGTGTATATGACGTGTGCATGCGAATTAAAAATAATAATTATCTTAGTTGATAGATCGTCCATCACAGTAAGCGCGAATATGTCACGAAATATATGGGGAGGGGTGATTCTTTCATATAGGTATACTATATATTATATATAGCATATATAATTTATATTAATATATACATGTATACGAAGGGTGTGTGGGTGGGAAAGAGGGAGGTAGAGGAAAACAGTCAAGTAGTATGTATATGTGTATATATGTATATGGATTTTACTACTATATACGTATATACTATAGTAGGTAGGTACATAGTATGTACAGAGTATATACTTAGGTATATACTATAGTATGTACGGAGTATATATATACGCATATACTCAGGCCACCTTAAAAAGTCCTAGGCCCCCCCTGTGGCCCACCCCAAAAATTAAATTTAATCATATTAGAAT